ATAATAGATAGATAATAGATAGATAGATAGATAAATAATAAATTTCTCACTCCATCGGCAATCACATTTCGCCAAAAATTTCCCCCTTTTTGTTTTTATTTGAATTTAGTCAAAATTTATTCAAATTCATTCAAACTTTGTTAAATTATCAAATAATTTCGTCCAAAAGAGTTTCTAAATTCCCAAAAATTTGGTGACCACAGAAAATCCTTTTTTTTTTTTGAAAAACGAAAGTGTAAACACTGCTTGTGACTGTACGGGCCTGATATATGCAACCAGCTTTTCCTTACAAATTAAAATGAGACATGTGTAGGTTGCGATTTCGAGTTGTTCGTGCTAGAATCTATAGATACGAATCCGTCTGAAGCTGATTTTGAATTTGAATTGCAAGTTGGCTTGCGAGTTGCGACACAAGCAGCTCGCTTCCTCCGTGCACCGTGCCTTCCAGAAGCCAGAAGGAATCAAACCGGAGCACGTAACTAACCACCATCAGCGAGCGTCTTCCTCCTCGTCGTCTTCAACCTCTCGACTCTCGTGTCTCGTGCCGCCATTAGCCACCACCAAATCCCCAAACAACCACTGCTCCCACTCCCGTCTCTCCAATGGCTGACGAGTTCCCGCCACCAGGTCCTCCTCACCCTGCACCAATGGCTGATGGTGGCGAGCCTCCGCCGCCATGGGCGGACCTCCCAATCCACATCGTCCGCGGGATCGCCAGCCGCCTCCTGTGCAAGATCGACCGTCGCTTCGGCGAAGGCGTCTGCCGCTCCTGGCGCGAGGCGTTTCTGCAAGTCGGGCCGCCGCCTCCCCCGCTCCCGCTGCTCGTCGTCGCGAACGCCGGCGAGCACGCGTTCCACTGCGTCCCCAGCAACTGGCGCACCCACCCCATCCCCATCCCCATGCCACGCTTCGCGCACCACCGCTACTTCGGCTCCTACGACGGCGGCTGGCTCTTCCTCTCCATCAGCCAATCCAGCCGCCACGGCCTCCACAACATCAACAAGAACGTCAACTCCAAGCGCTTCAGATTCAGCCTCCCTGACCAGCGGCTATACCAAATCCGGCCGACGACAGCGGAAGCGGATAAGTTTATTGTTATCGTCGCCGCCACCCTCTCGTGCCAGCCAACCGAACCGGGATGCGTCGCCGCCGGCATCATCGACTTGCACAGCTTCCCCGACCACCCAAGGTACATCGCGTTCTGGAAGATTGGCGACAAGTCCATTCCGGCGATGAACTAGGAACCGGAAGTGGTGGAGGACCTCCTGTACAGCCGCCATGGCGCTGGCGCCTTCCTCTTCCTCACCAACGGAGAACACATCCGTGAGCTCCCTCAACCGATATTCCCGCCCCCAGGCACGGCGAAGCGAGTCAGGAACGAGCTCTACTTCAAGCCGCGCGGCGACGACGGCGGCGGCGGCCGGCCGGTCCTTGCTCGCTACCTCGTGGAGTCCCGAGACGAGCTGCTCATGGTCGTCAGGTTGGGTACCCGTAAGTCATGTACTGCTCGACCTCGCCGTGGCCGCTCGCAGTAGCCGCCGCCGCCGCCGCCGACACCGACCTCGGCGTTCCAGGTGTTCCAGCGAGAAGACCAGAAAGTCAAAAGCATCAACGACATCGACGGCGTGGTTCGAGTTGAGCACTCCTGGATCAAGCTGGCCGACCTTGGCGGCCGCATGCTGTTCGTCGGGAGAGGCTGCTCCAGATCCTACGAAGCGGCGGATGGGTACCCCGGCATGGAGGGAGTCTACTTCCTGGATGACCGGAGCTTCTACGACCGGACGACCGTGTTCAAGAATGACGACAAAAGGAAGTATCACCGCAGCGACATCGGGAAATGGTCGGGATCACCACCGCAGGTCAGGCACTGCTTACCGGAGCAAGGTCCGTCGAAAACCTCCCCTCCGTTTTGGATTCTCCCCTAAGTGAGGTGATAAGTTTCGGCAACAGATGAAGTAGTTAATTAGTTAGAGATCATGTTAGCGATATGTTTTGGCAACAGATCAAGTAGTTAGTTAGTGCAGTGCGTGGTTGATGCCTTCATCAATGCTGTGTTGCTTGTTTGATTCGAGCTTCTTGCTGAGTTCGATGGTGATCTCGTGTTGAAATACTGAAATTGTAGCTTTGCTGACGAAAAATCCCATAATTGGGTGAAGAAATTCTGAAGATGATGAATTACCATTCACTTAGTTTCTCTGTACTTGCACTGCAATTCAATGCCGTGCTGTTTGTTTGTTTCAAGCTTCTTGTTGAGTTCTATCATCGATGGTGAACTCGTGTTGAGATTGTTGCTTGCTGGTGCAAGCTGATGAAACATTCCTCAATTCAGTGAAGAAATTCTGAAGATGAAGAAGTACTTTTCACCTTGTTTCTCTGTACTCGTTTTAACAAATTTGCATTGCAATTCAAGCTTTGTTAAGTTGTAGCGATATTGCAATGCACGGATTCTTCTGTTTCTTTATGACAGCCAGTTGATAATTATACCTTGGTAATCATGATACAGTTGTAATGATCTGCACTGCTGAACTTGATTTGTCTGCATATTTAGTCCTAAATCATGTGCACAATGAGGCTGATCGAGTGGCTGATAGAGAGTTTGATGGTATTGCGCTGGTGAGATAATCCTGAAATTATTCTAGCTGAAACCTGAAACTGCACTCATTTACCAAAAATCACCTGCCTAAAGCCAGCTATGATCGACCTGCACTTCAATTGTTGTACACCTTTTGATTCCTGATAAATTCAGTGCGGACACCTTTTGTGACGCAGAACACACCCCTTTTTACTTCTTTGCTTTTATTTGAAGCTGGTTTAATTTGCATGCAGTCAAATTATTTCTGTATGTTAATTGAGTCCACTTTCCTTGGTTGAACCGTTGAAGTCATTTATGTGCTCAAATCGAGAACATTGAGGTTCTTGGCTCAAATGCAAAACTCACAAAGTCTTCCATGAACATTAATGGGATGCATGGTGCTTCTTATGTCGATTTTACAAACCTGTGAGCTTCTATAATAGTAACACACAATTTTTCCAGCTTGTCCATGCACTGTCCCTTTTTTGTTCTTCTGAAAAGTAGCTGCTTGGTTCATTTCTCTGAAGTATTGGCTTGTTGCATACGGCTAGTTGACCTTGTAAATAGGCTTTTAAAACTGAACACTTGTAGCCAAGAATTTTGTTTGTGTGTGTTACTCTGCACTTACCATCTCCTTTTTTTAGATCATACTTGAGCTATTGTTCTGGTACCCTTTCGCATTTGGATTATTCATGAGCTTACTACTTAGCGCTTTGTGTTTCAATGGACAATTTGCAGACATGTACCGCATGGTTATGCTTTGATTTTTGTGGCCAGTCCATGTAATTTCCTGATCGATGGAGTTATTATACTTTGACTTGCTAGAGGATGCAAGAATTCTGAATGGGTTTATCTTCCTTTAATTGATTTACCATGTGCAGAGCTCTCTGAGTAAAACCTGAGAAAAAAACGTCAACAGGATTAGGTTTCAAGCTGAATATGCAGATTCCTCGTTGTCTGAATGTGTGTGCAACTGTGCATTGCAAGATCATTCATGTGAAGCTAGGTTATGCCACCAAAAAAGAGTATTAACATGATAACATCTCACCTGTAGATGTAGATTGAAGATTCTAGCAATGCAGATTGTTGAAATGTTTTTGTTCCCATACTGCCAGCTGTAGTAATCTAGGAATCCTCCTAATTTGAACTGAAAATGAATGTGATTCAGTCATTGGGTTTTCTGTACCTGCTATTTTCTGGTACCCTATTCATTTTTATTCCTATGAAGTTGCATGTAGAAACGGTTAGGTTGGGCTTACATCATTATTGTCCTGAAATTGGTAATTCCATGTGAAAATTTAATTGAACAGTGCTTCATTGCTGGATGTAAAGTGTGCTTGTGGTATCTGGTAGCTCAGGTATTAACTCACTGTGAAATGAGAGGGTCAAAGCAGAACTGCAAACATGAAACAAATTGACTGACTAACCTGAACTCATATCTTGTTCATAAGAGTAACATGAACTCATTTTCTGTCCACAAGAGTTACTAGTTCTTTGATACTTCACTGAAGATTTGTAGACCATCTCAACGGTGTGGAATACAGATAAGATAATGGATAATTGTACCTTTTGCTATCTGCAGTCTGCAGACTGCAGATTATCCATTTTATACCTAGTACGATGCCAATGCCAATTCAGTATTATCTAAAAGGTATAATGCCAATTATCAGCACCGCTGAAATTAGGCCAAGTTTAGTTCCAAACTTTTCTTCAAACTTCCAACTTTTCCATCACATCGAAACTTTCTTATACACACAAACTTCCAATTTTTCCGTCACATCGTTCCAATTTCAACCAAACTTCCAATTTTGGTGTGAACTAAACACACCCTTAGTCTGCAGGTTCCAGAAATGAAGTTTCATGCAGAAATGGTTGTGCTGGTATTACATCATTTTGGTGCTGAAATGGATAATTCGGTGGGAAAATATGCTTGTCAGTTCTTAGGCATTCCTGATAGATGGTGTCAGGCATTTCACTGAATGATCTAAATTTTTATGCATATAATGTAAAGTCCGCTCGTGTTATTGGTAATTGAACTACTAAGCTAGTCTGATATAATCGTCAACATTATTTGACATTTCAGTAATCTTTTGCAGATGAGCATATCGATCAGCTGCAAAGGAATACAGAAAATTGGATTTTTTGGGGGAAAGATAATTGGATTTTTTTTAATCTGCAGATTGTCCTGGTTCATCAGTATTGCTGTAGTTGCTAACCGGTACTCATAGACTCCTTGGTACAACCGTACAACGCTAATTCGCCATCTTAAAGAAATGTTACAATGCCAATTTATCTGCACCACTGAATTTAATCTGTACCCAATATTCAGTCCCAGATCATGTGGAGGTTTGCACTTTGCAGAGTGCCAGTTCTCTGGAACTTAAATTTTCCAATACCTTTTAAACAGAACGAAATTAAGGTGCTTCTCAAAACTAGTTTTGAATTCAAATTGCAACCTGCAAGTTGCCATCGATCAAGTCTTGCAACGCAAGCAGGCTCCGCTTCCTCCGCAGCTTCCAGAATTTGTTCGAAACGAAGCAAACTGGAGCACGCAACTATCCAACATATATACTACTAGCAGCAGCGTCTTCCTCCTCGTCGTCTTCAACCTCTCTCGTGTCGCGTGCCATTCGCCATCGCCACCACCTCCACTACTCGATCCCCTCCCATCCCTCCGGAACCTCCACTACTACTCGCCCCACCAATGGCTGACGGCGAGTCTCCGCCATGGGCGGAGCTCGTCCCCGACATCGTCCGCAAGATCGGCCGCCACCTCCTGTGCGAGATCGACCGCCACCACGCGGATGGCCTCTGCAGGTCCTGGCGCGACGCGCTTCTACAACTCCGGCCCCCGCCTCCGCCGCTCCCGCGGCTTGTCCTCCCGGAAGCCGACGGGCCCGCGTTCTACTGCGTCCCCAGCGGCTGCCGCCCCCACCCCTTCGTCCTCCCGCCCGCCGCGCTCCGCGCGCGGTGCTTCGGCTCGTACAACGGCGCCTGGATCTTCCAGGCCGTCGACCAGGCGGCGAACCACGTCCTCCTCAACCTCATCACCCACCAGCAGCTCAACCTCCCCAACCTGATCCGTTTCCCCTCCTTCCGGCTTCCGGGATTGACATTTGACTTCGAGGTCGCCTTCGTCGCCGCCACCCTCTCTAGCCAGCCGACTGATCAGGGATGCGTCGGCGCCAGCATCATCGGCTTCAAACGCAGGCCCCTCAACCCACGGCACATCGCGTTCTGGCGCATGGGCGATGAGGCGTTCTCGCAGTCCATCGAGTCGAGGTGGATTGACGAGGAGCTGGAACTGGATGTGGTGGACCTCCTGTACAGCGGCCATGGCGCTGGCGCCTTCCTCTTCCTCACCCGAGGGGAAAACATCCGTGTGTTTCGTCAACCGATATTCCCTCTCGGAGACATGCAGACGACAGTGCTCTACTTCGAGCGGCGCGGTGACGACGACGACGACGACGGGCGGCCGGTCCTTGATCGCTACCTCGTGGAGTCCCGGGGGAAGCTGCTCATGGTCGTCAGGTTAGGAGATCGTGAGCCTGGCCGCTTGCCGACCACGACGTTCCGGGTGTTCGAGAGAGAAGACGAGCTGTTCAACAACTACTGGACCAAGCTGCCCGACCTTGGCGGCCGAATGCTGTTCGTCGGAAGAGGCTGCTCCAGATCGTACGAAGCGGCAGATGGGTACCCCGGCATGGAGGGCGTCTACTTCCTGGACGACCGGAGCTTCCACGACCCGATGGTTGTGTACAAGGATGCCGCCCAACGGCGGTATCCCTGCAGCGACAACGGGAGATGGTCGGGAGCACCGCCACCAGCGGAGGTAGAGCGCTGCTTCCCAGAGCAAGGTCCGTCGAACTACTCCCCTCCGGTTTGGATTCTCCCATGAGGCGCACGACACATGTTTTTGGTTGTTGAAATTGTTGCCGGTGATCAGGCTAGTCTGTGATCGTTGCTAAGCTTTCATGCCTTCATCAGCATGTACTGTGTTAGTGTGTTTATTCGTTGAGTTTGGATGGTTTTCTCGTGTTAAAATTGTTACTGGTGTAAGCTGAAGCAGGATTGCTCAATTCAGTGGAGAAATTGATCTGCAGGTGACTTACCGTTCCCTTAGTTTCTGTCTTCATGTTTTTTCTCAAATTTGCATTTCAATTCAAGCTTCTTTTACTGAAGTTGCAGTGTTCACAAATGTCTTGGGAATTGGAAAATGCAGATTGTTCTGTTTCTTTATGATCGATAGTTGTAACATGATGCAGCGCTAATGATCTGCAGTGCTGAATTTAGTAGCACTAGCTGGCAGAAATATTAATATGTAGTAGGATTGACCTTATTCCACTTCATTGTTTCTGATGTAGATGATACTGTACTGCAGAGATAGTTACTTGTTAGTCCAGTATTATTAACTGAACAAAACTCATTTTCGAACAAAATTCACTTGCAGATAGCCAGCAATGATGGATGCGTAGTTTATTTGCACCTTTTTGCTGCCTTAAGTGCCTTTTTCCCCTTGTGATTTTGGATTGCAGCTGATAATTTCTGTGTGGATATGTGCATGTTTGTGCTCAAATTTTCTGTGTCAGAACACATCCTTTTTTGGTGGATGTCCTTTGATTTGTCCGAAGTGAATTTGCATGCAGTCAAATTTAGTTGTAAACTCTAGCTGTCTACTTACGCTTGCAGTGAGCTGAGAATGTGAAAACATTGAGTTCTTAGGTCAAGTACAGAATCCACATGGTCTGAAATCTGAATGTTGGATGCCCGGTGCTTCGTGCGGTCTCTGGTATACAAAAGTGGTGTGCATCCATAATAGTAGCACACTATTCTTCCAACTTTTCCATGCATTTTCCACTTTGGTTCTTCAGATACAGTAAATAGCAGCTTGGTTCATTTCTCTGAAGTTATAGTTTGCTGCGTATGGCTGGCCTTTTGAATTGGCCGTTATAACTGAACATTGTTAGTATGTTTTGTTCCTTCTTTCTGGTTTTGTAGCCCAAAATTGTCTTTCTGCTTACGATATACTAAATGTTGTCTTTCTGCATGAAGATGCAGATACCGTAGCACATCCAGCAGACCGAGCCCGACTGTTTCTTTTTCTCGATTTAAGATTTTCATGCTTTTGATATCTCGCTCTACATATTGTTGGCAACTTTTTGTGACAAGTTGATAAGCACGATCGCAGCAACTAAACGCCTTGCGGTAATATGGAGTCGCCAAAAATCGTGATGGCAACTTTTTGTGACAAGTCGACAAGCATGATCGCAGCACCTAAACGCCTTGCGGTGATATGGAGTCGCCAACCACCTCGATCTAGCCAAAAGGCCAAATCAAGATGGGTTTTGTAGAAAAACAGCTAAACCGGTTAGCAGAGCCGATTTAGAGATGAAAATCAGTCTCTAGACCGATTTAGATCGATATGAGGATAACTACCCGTCTCGTGGGCAAAACGGAAGGTTTTCAGGACAAACCTACAAAGAGGTGTCGCACTCTCGCAGCGGCGGCGGATGATTTACGACACAAATAGATAAAGATGGACTAAAATTAGTGTAAAGTAGAAAACATAGCAGAAAAGTAAACATAAAAGAGAAAACGATTCAAGTATATTGTGTGTTCGGGGGATTACAATTGAACCGGCCTTGTCCCTCTTAAATAGGGGTTGGTCTTGCCCTCTACAGACTCTTCTCCACGTCCAACTCGTGATAGAACCAAAGGAAACACGAAACATGCCTTCCCAAGCAAGGAAACCCGAGACCCGTTGAATACAGACTCGGGCTCGGACCCTGACGGTTTGACCGGCCAAATACCTGCGGTCAGACCGGAGTTCAGGCCGCGGTCAGACTGCCCACATACCTGCGGTCTGACCGGTCCTGTGAAGGAAACCCATCACTTTCCAAACTTTGGCAATTTTCCCCTATTTCGCCTATAGGTGCCAAATTTGGGTGTAAACAAATGCCCCCCTTCCTTTTTTATGAACATCGTGAATCTAAAAGCATAGAACATGTTTGTCTTAGGGTGATAATACGATTACCGGCCATAGAACCTCCTAAGCATATTGCCAAACACTCGGGAAGTATTTCTTCAAGTATTTCCCATTGATTGCTCGCAGAAAAATGCTGTCCTTGAAGTGTCTCTATGTCTTTCAAAGTTTTCAAATGCTTGTCGATGACGTCTTCAAAATTGCTTCGCATTAAGGTTTTGTAATCTTTGACCAACAAATCGTCTTACTTGATATACCGAAGAGAGCCAAGATTTACCTCAAACGGCAAAACGGCTTTTTGTCCATAAACCAACTCGAAAGGAGTGACTTTGGTAGCACCATATTTAGATATCCTATGAGCCCAAAATACTTCCGAAAACACTTCATGCCACTTCTTTTGAAGTTCTTCAATCTTCTCTTTGACTAATTTTAACAATGTTTTATTACTTGACTCGGCTTGTCCATTAGCCTAAGCGTAGTAAGGAAAAGAACTCAACAACTTAATCTCGTAAGATTCTGCAAAACATTTCACCTCCTTGGACATAAAAGAAGCTCCTCGATCCGTAGTCAAAGTTTAAGGAATACCGAATCTATGAACAATATGCTTCAAGATAAAGTCAATTACCTTCATATGAATCATGTTCTTGAGCGCTTCGGCCCACTTGGTGAAGTAATCCATCGCAACTAGCACGGACCGATGCCCTTTTGATGTCGAAGGATAAATTTGACCAATGAAATGCAAAGCCCATCCTCGGAACGGCCATGGTTTGATGATAGGATTCAATATAGCGGTAGGCGCCAATTGAACATTGCCGATCCGTTGACAAGCTTTACTCTATAGTACTTGAAACAATCATCAATCATCTTCGGCCGATAGAACCCCGCTCTCCTAAGCAATCAATTCATCTTATGAGCCGATTGATGAGTTCCACGAATCCCTTTAAGTACTCCCATAGCAACTTTAGAAAAAGTACTTCGTCTATATTTCGGCGATATAACTCTCCATTAAGCAAAGTGTATTTGAATGCTTGCCGCCGAATTTTTGATCAACCCTAAAACTAGAATCTTCAAATATTCCATCAAAGGGATTCTCTAGTTTTCTTCTGACTCTTGGGCACAAATGTCTGAATTTACAATTAATTTGGCCTTTGAACCAATTGTAACATGCCCCCCAGCTCTCTGCCCGGGATCGGTCAGACCGGCCACGCAATGCCGGTCAGACCGCCCTGTCTACCCGGTCAGACCACCGGTCATCCGCGGTTAGGCCGGCTATAATGCGACGGTCAGGCCATCCCCAATCTGGAACTTCACCAATTTTGCCCAAAGATTTAAAATCAAGCACTGGCTTTTCTAATATCAAAAATACTCCTTTCTTCACATATTAACCAGATGCTTGGTGTATCAAATTATTGGACTAAAATTCCTTCTTTCTAGACATATGAGAAAATTATAACACCCAACTAATATGTCTAGATGAATACCAATTTAAGTGGCTTTTGAAACAATAATCATCAAGGTATCAAAACACTTAGCCACTTGAAGTATGATCAATAACGAATCACCAAAGTCATATGCCTCTCACACATGAACTCTAATAAACTACAAATGTTAGTAATCGGCTTGAGCATGTTGGCAAAATATTAAAACAAAGCCAATGTTCGAAACATAACAACTCTAGAACAAATCATCACATTGACCATTGACATTAGACGAATTACTAATAAGCAAAACTTTCATGGTGCAATAAATATGAATTATATATATTATATGGTGATCCATAAAAACACATATGATTTGGCTTTAAATAAATATCAAAGACTCATGAGCCAAATTAGACTTTAAACAAATCATATGCCAACTTACCAATTCCACTACTTAGAACTAGCATTTGCAACATGTATGTATAATATCAATTTGATAAGCAAAAACACACATGTGCTAGATAGCAAGCAATGTTCTAACATGGCATAGGCATATAATATAATGATGAACACAATAAACCCATACCTTGCCTTAGCATCCAACAAACGGCGGCTCAAAGATGTGACATTGTATCCATCGCCGTTCATCTCTCTCGATTTCTTCATAAGCATATTAATGTCTTGCCCCCCCGAGCAAAATCAGCTCTCTTGATTGCACGATTTCGAAGGCAAGATGAACACCGCACCAACATCCATAGCATCATGTGGAGGAGAGTTTTCTCTAATGACCGATGATTCTTCTCTCATGAACTTACCACTACTCTGGGAAATCACCGGTCTCTTAACTTTTACTTCTTTAGGTCTTCACACTTGCTTAGGTGTTGTTCGAGGCTCTAAATTTTCACAGTTTTGTCCTTCACATCTTTGGCCTTCTTTTCTTTTTGACCTATGGCTCGAAGACGCTGTAGCCTCCTCATTTGAGAGCGAGATAAGCCAGAAGGTATCCACTTCGGCTGTGGTTGTTTTTCAGGAACCAAGCAATGATTCTTGATGTATTTGGTTGAAGTAGAAGCTCCTGTGTTACTCTCAATTTTCCCACTCTTCTCCAATTCCCCCCGGTCAGATCGGCCTCTAGGCCTGGTCAGACCGGCTACAAGTTGTCGGTCAGACCAGTCAGTAGGGTCGGTCAGACCGGCCACAGGTTGGCGGTCAGACCGGCGAGATGTCTCGGTCAGACCTCCACTTTTGACAATCACGGTGTCGGCTCCGATCTCCTTTGCTTGTATGGTTTCCACCGCATCTCCAGTAGGTCTTTGAACATCTTGAGACTCCTACTTGATAGCAACGACCTCCGGAGCTTTGGCTTATTTTCTCACCCACACCTTCTTCACCTTTTTCACCTTTGATCCACTGGACCGATTCTTTTGTGGGAAATGGTCTTGACTAGAGTTAAATGAATGACTTGGTACTGACCTAGGTGATTGCTTCCATTCTTGATGAAACATCATAGATGGTTGAGGCATCCACGGCATGTAATACATAAAAGGATAACCGTATAGTGACATTGGATATGGATAACACGGTGTTAAAACTAGAGGTTTGTATGAAGTTGGTATAGTTGATGGCTCCGATTGCTTTGGTGTTTGACCAAATCTCTTCCTACGAGATGATCTTGGTCTTTTCGAATCACTAGTTTGATTATCAAATCGTTGACCAGC